CCATTCCCGTTCTCTGTCTGATCACCGTGTTGGAAATGTGTTCGCGGACATGAAATTCCCAACAGTCTTCTTCCTGACTTTCTCGCTGAAAAACAGCTAGCGCTCTTTGGTTTCAGTTGGTGTCAGTGAGTCGATCCTCTTTCTTTGTTGAATCTCTCTGACTTGAGTTCGGCTGGACATCTGATCGAAGTGCCTTCGTCTTTGATAGACTGATTCGCGCTCCGACTTTTGCACTGTTTCGTTCGATCTTTTGCATTATTTCTTGTACCTGACTGAAGTTTCCGCAAATACGATTACGTCATCAATGAACCTCAGTGACAGCTGTTCCTCGTTGATATTAATTCCACCATTTTATTTCATCCTCTGGAGCACTATTTCCAAACAGGCAATGAAGAGTTTGGAGGAAATTGTGTTGTCTTGTTCCACAACCTTTTCTGTGGGAACCCGGAGGCCTAAGGAACAGCTTGAAGTTTGTAAAGCAGCCAGAGTTCGCATTCTTTCGCAAGTTGATTTGACGGGTATCGATGCAGTCCGCAGTGTCAAATGCTCGGCAATATCAAAGGCATTCTTATAATCGATGATGGCTGTGCAAGGAGGCAGCTAAAATTCCCTCGCACGCTCGAGGAGTTAACCTAAGGTAAAGATATTATACATTGGACTGTAGCTTCTTCTGAATCCTGCCTGTTCTTTTAATTGCCATTTGTCCAGACTTTTTAACACTCTATTGGTGATGAGTTCAGTCAACAGTTTGTAATCTTGTGATAGCAAGCAGATTTAGCGAGGACTCTTCAGGTCTTTTTTCCGCTCTTTTTGAAGTGTCATTGGAAATGACTTCTTGTCTTATTCTGTCGACTGTTTCTGAAACTGTGCTTGGTCCTCCTTCACGTTATTAATATGATTTCCTCTCGTCGCTCCATGCTATGAGACACATGCGACGGTAATACCAAAACGTTACGAGTTTCATATCAAAAGGTTGGCGTTAGAATGTGTTCTACAGTTTTTAAGTATATGTTGGTACTGTCACATCGCTTGTATCTGTTACTCCATGATCAATGCCTCAACTTTGCGCATACTTACTTTACAAAGAACCTGAGAACATTAGTCTTTTATGGATCACTTTACGGAATGCGGATAAGATTCTTCGCCATTCAAATTTCAAATTGAAGAAAAAACAGAATGGTTTTTGAAAAAAATTAACATCTCATACTCGAATTATTAAGAATGAGGATTTCTTGAAACTTGTTGCATTTTGGGCTTAGTTAAATGAAAATGAATTTTTTTGCACTTTTCCTACCTATAGGCTATTTTGTGTACTTTTATTTGTTTTGTATAAGAATTACTTGAACCATAGGATTATGGAGCAATTGGACAGCGAATGACAGCGTTTCTTTTTACTGGTCAGATGGCGAGCAGGCCTCTAAGTACTATGGTTTCTGGCAAATAAACCAGCCAAACTTCGAAAAGGGGAGCTGCGTAGCGGTACGTTATATGTTGTACATCTGACTTGACCTTATTTTAAACGGATAGGCTCTCATTGTTACGGAGTCGTCTGAGGCGGAGCACGCCCTCATCGCCTGCAACCGGGTGCTGCCATTTGTGTGCGAACGACCTGCATGTGTCAAGGGTATAGTTTATTGCATATAATTATGTTTTTCTTTTATTTATTCTTCTCATTCGCGTTTTTTCTGATCCTCTTTTTTTCAGGCTTTTTAAAATTCTCCTACTCTTTCTCCCTTCCTTTTTTTCTCATCCTTCTTTTGCCATTCTCTTTCTTTACCTTCTTTTTTATTCATCGACATTCTTCCGCTTTTTTTTTCAACTCCCTGATCTTACATCAAGTGATTCGTTCCTCTCCTGCAAATCTAAATATGGTTCTTCAACGACACCGTGCAGTTTGGCATGCAGCCCGGTTTCCCTTTCTGACATATTTTTAATATTCAGACACCTTTCCTGCGTAAATTAATGGAACTTTCTTTCGGCCAGCATTCTTGTTATTGAGGCAACTCATAACATGCCCGATATGGAATAAAACTTAAATATACAAACAACAATTACAGTGTAGCAATTACGATTCTGAGTCCATTAAAGAAATTACAGACGCGTTGCCGATTCATGGTTGAGGGCCCCGAGCCACAGAGATTTAGACATTTTTAGTAACAACGAGTTTACACATTTTATAATTTCGTCAGGGTACAAATGCGAAGTGTCTGAAATTCATACTGATTTTGCTCAAGCAAAGAATTAGAAGAAGCACTAGCTATCCAATGGTTGTATTCACAAAAGTATTCGTAAAACTTTATTCCAGAACCAGGGATTTGGTCAGTCGTGATATTCTCTATCCTAGGACTGATGAAGGACAGTTTCAAGGTTGTCCGAAAGGAACCTCTTTAGTAATTTATTCGACTATTTCTGTGCGCATAATCGTTTAAGGTGAGCGCCAATACTTTTTTACATGAAAACAATGCCACGAAACAAGTAGTATCACAGTGTATTAATCAGATATGCATACAGGCACTTGGAAAGAAGTTCAAATAGTGAATTGGAATATCAGTCAGACAGGCAGGCGGGCAACCAGTTAAACAATTTCGATGACTCCATGTGGGTGAGGAGAAAATATCTTCAGATAGTGTCTTCAACATTTCTGATTTTGAGCCAGCCTCCGAGCTTGGCAAAGAAATGACCGAGCCTGGAACAGAATTTGCCGAGGCACCTACCTTAGGTGAATCTTGGTCTTCCGCTCGGTCTTCGGCCGGTCGATTGGTATGTACCGCCTATAAGTTAATCACTGAGGCATGAACCATTCACAATCCTATATGAAAAAATATGAAAATATGAATTGTAAGGAAAGGGTTCCAGACCCAATTCATTGGTTTTGCTCGTTGTCCTGTGGCGTTGATAATAGCAGGTTGGCAAAGCTGGAAATCAGCTTCCTGACTATATCCGTCGTCTAGCATGTTCTCATTTGTGAGAATTCAGTTCCTGCAAATCGTCGCTCGTCCATATCTTCTTTCTTGAGCGTTTTACGACGAGCGGTTGTTCAGCCAAGTGTTAACCTTCATGAATAGTAGATACATCTAATCACGGTCATGTACCCAAGAATGCTGAAAAGTGCAGTGTCGTCTGAGGTTCCTGCCATGGACAGATATCATTGTCAAATAGTGCGTAGCAATACCTGCAGGAGCGGACTTTTGCAATACTTTCAAGTACCGCCTAGACGCCATGTGGTTGAGAGTATTTGAGTTTACTACAGCGTCCTATGGATATACTGGAAGTATTACTCAGAAGATGATACGTGACGATTCTGTCAGCAAGATCAGATTAATTTTGATTTGATCAAGATCAGATTCTCACCAGAATGAATTTGAACTTGGAAATATGAGCATATGCTTTGGTTCAGATGTGTGCTCTCAGTTAACCTTAAGATCTTTAATCTTACTCCAAAGCTCAAACTCTCTTGTGGATCAAATAAAATATATTCACATGTTCTCGCTGTTCACTTACGCATTCTTCATACTGTGTGAGTCAAAGTAAGTTTTGAAGTATTTTATTCTGT